TTTTATGGATTAGTGCGTTAATTTTGAAACAATAAATAAATAAAAATAATAAAGAGCTCAAAATAATTTTAAAAATGCGCTTTTAATTGATTCTTTCTTTGAACAAGAATTTTTCCTTTTCTGCTCATCCAAAAATTTATATCTTTCATTACAAGATCAGTATCAATAAATTTTAAATTTCACATTAAAACGCACAATTAATTATTAATTTATTATTATTCCAGTATCATATCTTTAGAAACTCGGATTTGTTTCCACATATTGAAAAGATACAATACACTATTCTCACAATAATTGATATTCGATCTTCAGTATATACCTCAACATTAATTCTCAAACTCGAGAGACCAATATTTATCTTCCTTTGCCTTATACCAGAAAGAATCGGTGCGCCAGTTTGACCTGGAAAGCGAGAAGCTCGAAAACTGAATAACATCAACGCCTGCAGTAATATACCGTAATATAGCGCGTTTACAATGAAATGCACATCTACAATAAAATGCACGGGAAAATGGAGGCTGCGCGAAGAAAGGCGGAAAGTCCATTTCCTCGGTGGACAATCATAAAAACTCTCCATTCTGACCCGGGAACGACACGCCGGTAGTCGGACGGGCTATAAATTCTGTCTTTCGAGAATTTGTCAGATATATACAGCCGCGTCGGTCTCTGTTAAAAGTCCCATCCACCCCTTCGGAAAAGAGAGAAGACCCTCTCACTAGAGCGACTTTTACCATCTCACCTGTCGTTTCGTAAAGAAATGTCTGCGCCACTGCTTATTCCGCTTCGTGGCACAAACGCGAGAAATGAAGGGAAGCGATGTGGTTACAATGAAAATTTGTCGCTGCCGCATTTGACGCGAAAACTGCCTTTCAAAACCTTGGCCGTCGCCTTCGATGACGGTCGAAATTTTCCGCTTTGTTAATCTCCTCGATCGACGGCCAGTTTTTCGAATCATTTGGCGAATGTGAAACACGTTTCATCTAACAATAAGATACCCCTCGAAGCAAATTTCAAGATTAATGAAACTTCGAACATGACATTTCGCGAGTTAAACGGAAAAACAAGTTTTTTTTTCTAATAAACAATTTAACGTGTTAAAATTTTCTTAAGAATTTTTTTTTTTACTGACATTAATTGTAATAATAGTGTAATTTACGTTTTGCGTTTTATAACACAATTTTTGTTTGTAAAAAGTTATCTATACGATAATGCAAGATGAATAAATATCTCCGTAGAATGCAGAATTTTGCATCCCTTTGATATAAATGGAATTTTTCTTTCAGAGTAAAATCTTTCTCTCTGGATATTTCTCGCGTTCTTCTCGAAATATTTGTCGTGAATATATTTCATTTTTTATGAGACCATACAACACTATATCTCAAACAATGAAGTCTCTGCAGTGCTGGAATACGAAACGGACCGTGTGCAGAGAAAAATGACCGTGATAAAATACGAGTAGCAGATAGAATCTAAATCTCGATCGGCGACAAGGTTCTCATCTCTCGTAGAACAGGATGTCGTTCCATCTAAGTTCTGGAAAACGGACGCAATCTCACGGAAAATCGCAGGTCCCGGTGTAATCCCTCGTGTTCCTTTTCCTTTTTCTCCTCCGGATTTACAGGGTCGATAAATAATCAGAACACGCAAAAGAAACTATAAAAGTATACGAGATGTGACAATGCGATAAATACTCTTTTTTCCTGAAAGACGGTCGGAAAAAAACGTATGCAACTAACACAAGATTATCGGATTCTAGGAAAATATCTCGCGTATACAGCGAAAAAAAAGAAAATTTTTTATTCAAGAGATGAATGTTGCGCTGAACATCGTCAAACAAAAACGAGACCAGCCGACAAAGCCGCACGTTTTACGAGAGAACAAAAGGAAGAAATAAATACACGCTGATGACGGATAAAAACGCGAATAAGGCTAGGATAGGACTCGAGAAAAGTATGAGCGTAAAATAAAAAGGTTCAAGCAATTTGTTTTTGTATCGAATATTCCATGGATTTGTGAAAAATGTTATCCTGCGTTTTTCTTTAAAAACTAGTTCTCTCGATTCCTGTGAAAATATTTTCAAAACTCTTTCAGAATAAAAATATAATAAATAGTATAATATTTTAATATTTGTCACAAATTCACGTTTTCCATTAAAAGTTGCTAAATCTTAATGACATATACTTATATATATTATATGTATATTTTTTTTAATTATATATTAAAAATATTTTTAAAAATATATTTCAAAAAAGTAGTATATATACTTTTCTTATGTATATATATATATTTTTGAAAATATATTTTAAAAATATTTTTAATATATAATTAAAAAAAAATATATACATATTTCAAAAAAAGTAGTATATATACTTTTTATCTATCGTATAAATATATATGAATTTTTTAAATATATTTTTAAAAATATATATATAATAAAAAAAAAATATATACATACAAATATATTTTTTTCATCGCTTACAGCTTAGTCGAAACGGATGAAGCGTCTGTAATATTTCCATCATTCCGAACGCGTCTATCGAGCGAAGCGAAGCGAAGTTAAGCCGAGCTGGTCCAGATGTGAGAAAAGCGCGGCACAATGAAACGCGTCACTCTCTCACGTCCATTGGAACAGCCTCCGCGGTCCGTGAACACCATCCCTAAACTACTACCTAGATGAATAGATCGAGCCGTTTTCTCTATGTTCCACCCGAGCACAAGTTTGCGAGGGATGCAGCAACCACCCTCCCAGCCCCATTATTGCGTTCTCTCGCGTCTCTAACATCACGTATATTTCACCCCACAATCGGTCGCCGAGGACAAATATACCCTTATTTGTACACATCCTGTGCATTGTGACGTAGTAGCACAAGGCACCCAAACTCCGACTTCCGGCGAACGACAGAGTAAGGCCCATCTCTATTTCTCCTTTCTGTAAATACTCCGCATCCTTTATTTTTCTCCTTCGATTCAGAGGAAGAAGAGGAAAGGAACACGCGACGAACTTTTTTTAAGGTAATATCAAGCTTCGATGGGTGGATCTATCATTTGATCCGCGCGATCCCTTCCGTTCGAGGATTCCCGCTAGATTTCTCTCCGTATACTCTTTCTTACGTCGTTTCAGTTCTCCGAGAGCAGCATGAAACCCGGATGCTGGATAGACGAGATATAAGTTTCGCGAACAGGATCGTATAAGAGATAAAGCGCGTAAGATTGAAAAACTTTTTCCGCAAAAAAAAAAAAAAACTTTCTTTTTCGTTAAGAGAAATTTGACGGTACGTCGACATCCTATATATACAGGAACTTGTTCGAGGAAACGGGACGAGATTGTGCGGAGCATCTCGATAATGTAGCGAATGTTTCGCTACACTCTCGCATTACGACCGCACACTCTCTGAGGCCCACCTCGTAATTATTCGCGGTTCGTATAGCCCACGATATGGTTCGGAGCCATTTTCGGCTAACCACTTTTCTACCGCAACACAAAAAAAAAACCCCGGCCATTCGGCGACGCTTGAACATGGATCGAAATGAACTCTGCTCGCAGGACAAATTAAATTTCGTCTCTAGTCATTCGTGAAATCGTTTCGTGGCTTTCCTCTTCTTCTCTTGTATAACAATGTAAAATTTAATAATAATTAAAATTCTGATTGCCTTTTTTTATGTATTTATGTACGTAATTTAAGAATGTTTTCCTCTCTCTCTTTCTCTCTTTCTTTCATTTTTTTTCTCTTTCCGTTTCTATCATGACCTGGTGTCACAGTGCGAGATACATTTTGAGTATAAAGGACTGACGAGACTTATTTAGAAAATTAATGATCTTTCATTCGATTCTTTTCTTAACACCGCTATTCTATCGGAAAACCATTACGGGAAATTGCTTTCGGAGGAAAAAATCAAAATGAATACTTGAAAACATGCGTAATCAATCATTTTTGATTTGAAATTAGTACGTCAATTACTTAAAATCATTAGCTATTATAATATGCAGATACGTTCATGATTAAGTTCTACATTAATTATATCGAATGTTAATTTATATTTTGCTTATAATATTTGTAGTAACTAACTTTTTCAAATTTTTGAGACACTTAATTCGCGCTTACTGTAAAAAAATTTATCTTTTCAATTATTATTTATTATATTTAGTCGTATATATACACATATTATATGTATGTAATAATTATTTATCACAATACAAATATTTTTCACGGCTCTCGATATCAAACATATCTGAAAATAAACTGGCTGTAAGAGCGCGAATGTCATTACGTCGGTTACAGTAAACATTAATTTTTCGTTACAACTAATTAATTGTGCACGGGGCACAAAATTTTGCTTAACACACTGCCAAGACTTCTTAGGAATTCGTGCCTCGTGCATAATTAATTATTTGAAGCGAAAACTGAATTTTCGCTATAACCAACGCAATAACATCCGCGTTCGACTATTACAGCCAATTTATTCTCATAATTATTATATAAATCATTATATAAAAAAGTTATTCCTTGGAAAAATATTTCAATCTAAAACTGCATCGTGATTCCTCCCACAAACTGGCCTACATTTTGTAAAATTTTGCTTAATACTCGTATACACTGCCAAGACTTCTTAGGGATTCGTGCCTCGTGCATAATTAATTATTTGAAGCGAAAAATGAATTTTCGCTATAACCAACGCAATAACATCCGCGTTCGACTATTACAGCCAATTTATTCTCATAATTATTATATAAATTATTATATAAAAAAGTTATTCCAAATATTTCAATCTAAAACTGCATCGTGATTCCTCCCACAAACTGGTCTACATTTTGCACGTGTCAAATAATTCGATCAGGAATAAAACTTGGAGGGCAACCTAGATACCACGGAATGTACTGTATAATTACAAGAGGTACTCTTCGCGGTAAGGAAGGGACTCACGACAATCAGGGAAATTGTAGTGGGGGAACGGATATAAAAGAGGGTTCCAAACCCAGAAGGGCCGCAGTCGCGCCCGAAATCCGTCGGTGGAACCCACGCTCGTAGTCTTCATAACTAACTAGAACGATCCACAATCGATTCGATCGCAAATCTTCACGGTGTTTTTATAATTCGAAAAAATTACAGTGTTTTTTTAATCAAGAAAAACAAATTACACGTGGATATATGTGTGATAATTAAAATTGTGCAGTGAGAAAAGTGCGCAAAGAAACAAGACTCTTGGATTCTTCAAGATGAAGGCCGCGCTACTAGGCGGAATATTATTCTGCATAACCCTACCTTTAATATCAGGTTTGGATCTTAACGAGCTCATACAGGTCGCACAGTGCAGATCAATGTGTTTGCGAAATTTTGGTATCTTCGACAAATGTGAGGACATCAAGATAATTGGGACCAGAACTTCGTGTCGCAGGGTAACCAAGACTTGCCTTAATTGGGTTCTTTTTTACATTCTAAAAGTTCATTATGTTTCTTCTCTTCTATTTAAACAGAAATCTATAATTAGAATATAAAACCGAAATATACTTCAACAATTTCTCGAGAGTAGATAGAAATAATTTATGTTTATAATCAATTAGATTATTAATGTAAAAATGATCTGTAAACTCGATGTATGTATGCAATCAAGTTTTATATATTAAATATCTCGATAATATAATAAATTTACAATATATTCGCAATTCCTTAGTTTTTACTTTTTCAATTGATAGCAATCAGAAGTCATAGTATAAAAAAAAGAAACAATTAATCTAAGAAGAAATTATATTTATACGTGCGCGCACGTTTATGTATAGATATGAACAAAATTTATTTTGTGATACCGTTAATTTTGTTATACAGTTATTTTCTACAAAGTAAAGCTCGAAATTTTTGGTATGTGAAGAATTGATGTAGAATCGGTAACTTGCAAAAATTATTTCTGTGTTTGAAACCTTCTAATATTAAAATCTAAATTTTATGAAAATACTGCACTGAAAATACGAAATTTTTAAAGAGCTAAATTAGTGTCATTTAAATAAAATAAAATATTTAAATAAATATTTAATATATAAATATAAAAAAAATAAAATAAATAAAATATTTAAATAAATATTTAATATATAAAATATAAAAAAATAAAATAAATAAAATATTTGCTACATTATTCTCCTAAAAATATTTAAAAAAAAATAAAGAAAAGTCGTGCAACAAAATTTCTGTGCATAAGCGCCCAAAGGAGGCACCGATTAAAGTCTGAAATCGAATAGATCGATGAATCTTATATATAGAGAAATTTTACTAGGAGAGAATAACAAAAAAAAATGCCCAGGTGTGGTCGCCATCCCTTCGAGTCATACAGCTGAGAATCACGATTAAAAGCGATCGGGAAACATCTAACAATGCGAACGTGAGCGTGAGGGCGTTGCTCATTTGATACTATGGGGGGTCTGCTAGGGGTGTCCATTAATTTCGGGAGATCCGTCGATTCCATGTCCCGAGAGAACTAGGGGACCGTACATTCAAATTTATGCGCCGGCCCCTTTTGTGACGAATGCATCCCGAGGGAAGAAGAAAGGATACATCGCATTAAAATAGCAGCCTGCCGAGGAGACGCAAATAGTTCTTAACAAATGCTATACAGTCGATTGTCGTTTCTCCCTTTCTCTCTCCATGAAAAAGAAAAGACGACTCATGCACAATAATGGCACGATGACTTCAGAAAGGAAAGAAGTCTTTTCGCGACTTGGCTCGTGATTGTCTTAATCCTCTGGGAGCAGAAAAATTTTAAACGAAAAGACGCTCGCACCATCAAAAGAAATTATTATTATTATTGTTATATTATTATTATAGTGTAATTAATAAAAACTTAAGAGTACGCGCACATAATAAAGGAGATGTAGAAAATAAACATTCGCGAAGAAAGTAATAATTTTAATTCTTTGGTAAATTTATTTGAAGTTGTTTGAAGCAAATTTATATTAAAATTATTTTAATATAAATTTGCTTCAAACAATTTATATATTACAATATAATTTTAAATGTGATGGAATTTTACTATAATTTATAATATATTTATATATTAAATTTTGTTGCACGACTTTTATTTATTAATTTTTTCAATATTTTTAAGAGAGTAATGTAGCAAATATTTAAAAATGTATTGCACGTTTTTTTTATTATTATTATTATTAATAGTTATATATTATAAATTTACGCTTGAGAAAAATTTATATTAAAATATAATTTTAAATTGTTTGAAGCAAATTTATATTAAAATTATTTAATTTTTATTTTAATTTAAATTTGCTTCAAACAACTCCAAATAAATTTACCAAAGAATTTAAATGATTACTTTTTTCGCGATTGTTTATTTTCTACATCATATTTAAAATTATATTTAATATAAATTTGTCTCAAACGTAAATTTATGATGTGTAAATATTAGGTAATAATAATAATAATAATAAAAAGCGCAATACATTTTTAAAAACATAATATAAATTAATATTAAATAGAAACAAATAATATATAAATACGAATATAAAAGATAACAATATAAATATAAACTATAAATATAGAAAAATAATAATAAACAATAGCAAAATTATTATTTCAAATATTTTCCTAAAATGTATTTTATATTGGGAATTTATTAAAAATATTTTCTTAGCTTTTCTTTTCCTAACTTCATTTTCTTTCTACTTCTAGTTACGTGCTACTAAATCTCCGTTCTTTTCTAAAATATATTATCCAACTGAAAATTCTTCTCCCATTTATTTCTTTAATGTCAATATACCTAATGTCATCGGACAGACGAATCATTGATTTTCGTATTATCACAGAGCTATTTGTTCTGTGATTCAAACCGATGATTGTATCTCGATAATTTGGGGTTGATTGATCGATAAAGTCGATAAATTCAAAGTCTAATGTTGTCGAAGAAATAAAAAAGGAGAAAACTATAGCACATATGTTTAGTTATAATATCTATTTGTTTAATTTCGTGTGCTTAACACTTCAGATTCTGCTCTTAACTTTTATCAGTAGAAAAATATATTCATTATCTTGAAGTGATCTATCAAAATAACTACTTTGTATCAACTATTTACAGATTAAGTTACTTGGATTTCATGATATAAAATGCTGCAAAAGAAAATAATAGTCTTTAAATTGTATGAAATGTATAAATTCTACAAAAAGAAAACGTATTTTTCAACTCTCGAATTTTTTTTCGGAGCCAGCCAATCTATCTCAGTCTGGCTTTCGGGAAATGTCATTAGTGAGGGCTCACTGGATCCTTCGCTTCTACGAAGCAAAGAATCGGTCTTAAGAAGGGATGGAGAAGGGTAATCGGGGATCAAAATAGAAAGAGTAAAAAAGGAGAAAAAAGAGATAACAGCGAAAAAAAAAGAGAACAAGAATGTAGAAACCGGCCGAGCCTATTCGAGGATCGGTACCCCAATAAATATAAAGACAACAACAACGAAGGTGTCTGTTGTGCGTCCGGAACAGGTTGGAGCTAATTCAGCTTCCCAGTCCCCTTTCTCTCAATGTTTCGTCCTCTGTCTCATCCCTCGCCTCTTCATCCCTCCTTAAATCGACTCGATTCAACGTTTTTTTTTATTCTACTCTTCCTTTTTGTGTGAGTGCATCAAGCTTCTTTCTTTTCTCTTATCCCTCTTTTTTCCTCATCTTTCTAGTATACCTCCGCTTTTTTTCTCGCGCGATTCATACGGCATGAGAAGTTTTTATTCTGAATTTCTCTTGCTCTGTCTGGCTCTTTGTAGTCTTTCGAAAAATTAATATACTTAAAAATTGTAAAATTGAGAATTTGAAATAAATGTTTAAACATAAGATAATTAAAAAATTAAAATTAAAAAAATATTCGAATAATTCTCTTTGTTAAAGTTAAAAATTAAATTTTCATATACGTTTATTTTTACAGTGCTGGGACATCTGTGAAAGTTTCGGTTCTTTTCAAAACAAAGAAAGAGTCAAGAAATGCAAATTACATTTCCAAATACTTATAAATGTAAGTAAAAATAACATATTTTATAGTCTTCCATCTGTTTCTATCTCTTTCTTGTTGTCTTTCAAGGTGTCAAATTAAGTTATTTTGAATAAAAAGCTTTTCAATAAACTAAATCAAGTTAAATCATACACTGTCACATACACTTATATACAATCACATATAATAATAAAACATTTTTACTTTCAATTTATATTTAATTTAATGAAAATTCTATCAAGAGATCACTTTTCAATACTACTTTTCATTTATTAGATTCGTCAAAACATCCATTTCGACTTAAGATATGTCACATGTCCGTTATTACTGATTAAATAACAGATATTTTTATTTATCTAATATTGTATTTCCTTTAATATTTCTAATATTTTCAACTTATTATATACATATGTTTCTACTTTCATATATTTATATTTTTATTTATATATTAATTATAGTATATTTTTTTATAATTTATAATATATTTTAGTAAGCACATTATATATATATATATATATATATCAAATATATATTGTATTTGTATTATATATCGTACAATATTATAATATATTCACCTCAAGAGATAACTCAAAAATTCTACCCATACAGTTTTCACATCGGTTGCTATTTTCCCAATTTTACGAATCTTTTAAAGACAGATTTGTAAAAGTCTAACAGTAAGTCGTGATCGAATGTACGAATCTTGTTCGAATCTTTTTCTATTGGAGTACCGATTGCACAGGAAATCCAGATCAATATTCTTGTTGTATCTCATTATATCCTTAAGGCGAGAATTGAAAGTGCTAGTCGATCCAGTGCAAAGGAAACTGTCATTCGGGAGTAACTTTCAACTTTATAGAAAAGAAACGACGGTCTAACACAATGAAGATAAAATTTAAAGTAGTAATCCATGAAAACGAGTCCGTCTATTTTCACGAAAGGTCTAGAGTCGCGCAGAAAAAGCTGGCGAAAATATAAAAGGAGGCATCTCTTTAAAATATTTAGAAAAGAAAGTGACTTTTTCCCAATTTTAATTAATTGCAAAAAATATGTTAGTATTCTCGATTATAATGAATAACTTATTTTGACTAATTATCGTAAAAGAATATACAACTGCAAAAATAATTAATAAAGAAAGAAATTTGATTATTGTTTAATATAATGTTTTTTAAATGTATAATATCGTCGGTAAACCATATAAATTATACTACATTATGTGCGAAGTATAGATATAGTGCGTTTGTCGATCTCGTAATGTTTTTTCTTTCAGGACTGGGCTTGGAATGTGGTCTGCAAATTTTTTCTCACACGTGAAACAGAGGAAGAAAAATATGAATTGATCAAGTTACCGGCTCCTGAGGAGGACAATATTATCAGAATGAATAAGAATGATGTGGCCATAAAATTAAACAAAAATCAACAAGGAACGTGGATAATAAACAATTTGTTTACTACAAATCATGAGCTTGAAATGAGACCAGGCGACTGGATTATCATCACCAATGACAAGGGAACGATCAAACAATACAGGTATTATCTCATTTATTGTTTTTTTTTCTATCGCTAAAAGATACGAAATAAATGGCATTAAATAAAAATACAAAAATTTCACACACAGACAAATAAATTTCACAATTGAAAACACACTTACAAAGTTACTACTTAACGCTCAATAGATTAAAAAAAATGTAAAATCCGACAGTTAAATAAAATAAGAGAAATATATGTATGTTCTTTCGATCACTCTATCTCTGCTATTTTTTATGGTTAGAATGGAATAATCGAAAAATAAATTGTTTACACTATATTTTATACTTATTTCTACAACATTTTAATAACAAATATGAAATATCTGTTCTATTATATTCAAGATAAGTTATTTTTCAGTAATCTTATCTTAATAATTTTTTACATAAAATAATGAGATAAATCAATCAATGTAAAAAACATATAATTATTTAAAAGATATATGCCCAAACATTGCAAGTTGCACTTTTTTTTTTTTTAATCAGAGGAGTATGTTTTTCTTACCGATAGATTTATCTCATTATTTTATGTAGAAAATTATTAAGGTAATATTATTTAAAAATGAGTATATAACAAGATATTTCATATCTTTTGTTACAATATATCAGAATGAAGCAGAAATATCATGTAAACTATTCATTTTTTTACTATTTCTAACAATTTTTTACGTCAAATATTACAGGGAATCGATTTATAGAAAATTATAGTGTTTCGTTTAAAAAATAACCTTCGAAATATCAAAAATACCTCTATTTATTGTTAGTTAGAATAATTACGACCACATGGTTCCCTTCGAAATCTTTCAACATTTGTATGAAATATTTTTCGATGAAAGCCTTGGTTTTCGAAAAATAGTAATACACTGTTTAAAATGGAACATCTTATATATACAATATTCTCTTCTTCTATCTTTTATATAAAAATTAATTTTTTTTTTATCTCATCAAAAGTATCAAATATCTCACATCTGATTTAAATTTTTAGATTTAAAATTTTTTCATATTTTCTCAAATTTTCTACATTTATTTGTTGCAACATAAAATCGTTATAATAATAATTATTATAGTTGGGAAAAGTGGCAGCCTACATTAGAGTCTGGCACACAAAACGGTTCCCTGTTTGAAATTAACATTTCGTGGACAGACTGGCAGGCCCAATTGAAAAAGCAACGGGAAAAAGTTGATCTATTTAATAAGGATAAGGTCTCTTTGGAACTTCGAAATAGAACAAAGGCACAAAATAAAACATTCGTCGTCACTTGGCAAGAAAAAACGGGAAACGGCATTATGGGCAACCAGGTAATTAAGACAGTTTATGAAATATATTGATATAAATATTTCGATTTTTCTTTTTAATTCTACATTGAAATACAATATATTTACAAGTAGACTTGAATCATTTATAAATATGTTATCAGATACGCAATAATGGTCGATTGTTATTCATATTTCCATTTATTTATAATTCCAGCAAAATCGTAGCTTCTTTTCGAGTAAAACATAAATCCAAAGAATCGAAAAAAAGCTATGATTTCAGTGAAAAAATCTTAAATAAACGAAAATAAAATAATAATAGTCTACTAATACTTGAAGTAGTGATATATATGGGTACTTACTCATAAAAAGAAATATCAAAAATATTATTAAAATGAAAATACCTATAAATGCTAACATCTATGTCTATAAAAATAAAATATAAAAAATTTTATAATTAAATATAATTCAGTATAATTATTAAATCTATAAATTATACAATATAATTTCGATTTGTGAGTATATATTAATTTGATCCCATTCTTACAGGTAGCAGACAGCGAATCGGCGCAGATTTCTGTACCACCCGGCAAATATTTGGTGAGAATAGCCAGTAATGACGGTCCCGGTAGCTATTCAATCCTTATCGACACCAATGATATAATAAAATGCCGTTTCCCCGTTTGGCCGATCATATTGCTAATAGGATTTTCCGTAATAACAGTAATTAGTGTTGTGGTAATTGCGTTAAAACTAAAGGACAAAATTCAGATGATAAGGCTCAACAGAAAAAAGATGAAAACAAACAAAAACAATAACGTGCCGCCGATAAGCTTCACACAAAGTACACTTTCTTTTGGAACAAGCTCTTCTAAAAATAATTATTATTCAGCTATCTATTCAAGTGTGGATGAGCTGATAAATACGAAAAATCCTGAAGAGGTACTTAAACAGAACTCAAATAGTGATACCAGTTCAAGTATGCATGAAACGATTAAGAGTAGATCCTGAACAGATACTCTAACAGTAATCAAATAATGATACCAGTTTGAATATGTGTGCCCTTCCATAACGCAAATGGGCATGATGTAATCGATCTAAAATAAGAGTCGATCGCGAACGTGATTTAGGCGTAAAGAATCCTGCTACGAATTTTCTCGCCTAACTCGGCAAGGACAGCTCAGGGATTTTATTGTTTATCAGTGAGAAAGCGCTGTCTTCCGCGTCTGATAACATGAAAAATATAAAAGATAAATGAACGAATATTTTCCTTTATCACATAATAATAGATAAATCATCTCGACATTGCTCTTTTTTTCGTTATAAGTTTAGTAATACCTATATTTAAAATACGATAATAAGGATTTTTTTTGTTTTAAATAAGGACAAGTAAAAATAATTTGATTAATAATTCGCGTGTATTAAATAATTTTTAATTATAATTATCTATAGATTTCAAAGAATATAAAGAAAATTGTAAATATATAGAATATAGAAAGAAAGAAAGAAATATCCTCGTATTTCATCACTTTTCGTTATAAAAGAGAAAAATATCTTAAAACATTTCAATCAGAATGTATTGATTTCATATAGCAATGTTGCACTTTATAGGACCATTCTTCTGACTCTGGCATAATAATTTTGAAAAAGATAAGATGTACAAATGCATTTTTTACGTTGCGAAATACTGCAAATATCGATAATTATATTATATTATTATTTGTATTATAATGCTTGTAAACATTCTCGATAATCATATATGAGAAAAGAGATGAAGAATATTGACAGATTAAATGTACAAATGTGAGAGCTTACATAAATGTATGTGTAGCGAACAAGGAACGAACAATATCAGTCGAGATAGAAAGAAAGAGAAATTTTACAAATTCTTGGATAATATTTTATATAATAAAGACTACAGGGTGTCCCAGACTTACCGTATCACACGTTAATGGGAGATTCCTGAGGCGATTTACAGACGATTTTTCCTCAACAAAAATGTCGAGAAAGGTCATTATTTTTTTAATGTTCCCAATTTTTGAAATCATGTATCTTTGTAACTAATTGTAAGCCTTAAATTAAAATTCTATTAAAGTAAACTTTACCTGAAATTAACTAAAAAATGTAGTTTTGTTAATAATTTATTTTTACAAGGCTTAGTTTACAAAAAGGCTTTTATTGTCAATTATTTTTAACTCAAAAATTATTGGTACCTGGATATTTTCGTTGAGAAAAAATCGTCTCCAAATCGCCTCAGGAATCTCCCATTAACGTGTTATACGGTAGGTCTGGGACACCCTGTATAAGATAAATACAACGCTATCCTAGCTCAATATAATGCAACGAATAGACTGAATTCTAAGAGTTCCTATCGCAGAAAATTGATAGCAGCCTCAAGCTTTAAATATTTATTTGTAAATACACAGCAGTAATCTTGTATAATACTTGTATAATAAATATCAAAATAAATTATAAAATCAATTTTACAGATTCCTTTTAGTTACTGCCTCTATATATATAATATTTCATAATATTATTCTTTTTTAATATTATATAGATTATAATATTGTACTCATATGTATTTTTTAAGTTATGTATTTAATATTACTAATAGTACTTAAATATTGGATCTGATCCAGATGTGAGAAAAACACAGCACACAAAAGGTCTGTTCGTTTTGGCTACACTGGCTACACTAGTTCAGAGGGTGTCTTTTTTGCTCGACATTTAAAGGAAAAAGATAACCTTTGAACTAGTGTAGCCAGTGTAGCCAAAACAAACAGACCTAATGAAACACGTCACTCTCTCGCATCCATTGGAGTAGCCTACGATCCATGAACCCTAAACTACGCCTAGACTGGATCGAGGACTCTGCTTTCTTTATATTGCACTCGAGGCCAAAGTGTGCGAGGGATGCAGTAACCGGTCCTCCCCTCTTTTCCCAATCCCTTCCATTATCTGGCTCTATTGCGTTCGCTAGCATTTCTAACATCACGTATATTTCATCCCACAATCGGCCGCTGAGGGCAAATATAGTTTTATTTATACATATCCTGTATATTGTGACGTAGTATAGTAAGATTCATCTTTATTCACATTTCTTCCTATGAATATTTCAGTTTTTACTTTTCTTCTTCAATTTCGAGGAAAAGGAGAAAAAGAACACGGGATCAATATTTTAAGGAAAATTTGACAGTACATCGACATTCTATATATACAGGAACTCGTTCTAGGAAACGGACGAGGTTGTGCGGAACATCTCGAACATTTCGCTACATTCTCACATTACGACTCTCTGAGGCCCACTATAATTATCCGCGGTTCGTACAGCCTACGACGCAAAATCTATGCTACGTGGTATATGATTCGGAGCAGTTTTACACTTTCAGTTTTTCTACCGCAACACAAAAAAAAAGAAAGAAAAAACTTGTCATTTAGTGACGCTTGAACATGGATCGAAATGAATTCTGCTCGCACGACAAATTAAATTTCGTCTTCAGCCATTCGTGAAATCGTTGCGTGGCTTTCTTCTTCTTCTCTTGTGTAATAATGTAAAATTTAATAATAAAAATTCTCTAATTGTCTTTTTATATACAGGGTGTCCGGTAACTAACGGATTAATGATTACGGGCGGATTCTCTGGCCAATTTGGAGACGATTTTTCCTTAGCAAAAATGTTGAGAAGTCAATAATTTTCGAGTTATAAGCGATTGAAAAAAATGGGTTTTTTGAAAACTAAACGTTTTGGAGTTAAAAGTCAACATAATTACATTCTTCAGTTAATTTCAGGTAGAGTTTACTATAATAAAATTTTAATATGAGGCTTAGTTATAAAGATATATAGTGACAAATATTGGAAAGTTGTAAAAAATGATGACCTTTTTCGACATTTTCGCTGAGAAAAATCGTTCCCAAATTGACCAAAGAATTCATTTGTGACCGTTGGTCCGTTAGTTACCGGACACCCTGTATATATAGGATGTTCTAGACTCTAGACCTACCGTATCACACGTTAATGGGAAATTTCTAAGGCGATTTGGAGACGATTTTTCCGCAGCAAAAATGTCGAGGCATCAATAATTTTCGAATTATAAACGATTGAAAATAAAAGCTTTTTTAAACTAAGCGTTGTAAAAATAAATTATTAACAAAACTACATTTTTTAGTTAATTTCAGGTAAAGTTTACTTTAATAGAATTTTAATTTAAGACTTAGTTACAAAGATACATAATTTCAAAAATTAGGAACATTAAAAAAATGACCTTTCTCGACATTTTCGCTGAGGAAAAATCGTCTCCAAATCGCCTCAGGAATACGGTAGGTCTGGAACACCCTGTATATACGTAAGTTTAGAATGTTTTCCTCTCTCTCTCTCTCTCTCTCTCTCTCTTTCTTTCGCTCCTTTTTCTCTCTTTCTGTTTATACAATGACCTGATGTTACTCTGTGCCAGATACATTTTGAGTTACAAAGGACTAAAGAAAACGAGATTTATTCATGGATTCTTTCTTAACATCGCAATTATATTGAAAAACTGTTATGAAAAATTGCTTTCAGAGGAAAAAAATCGATATAAATATCCAAAAACATGTAATCATTTTCGATTTGAAATCAGTATATCAATCACTTAAAATTATTATTGCATGTAGAGACATATTACATATAATTAAGTACTATATTTACTATATAGAATATTAATTTATTTTTTTTATCATATTTAGAGTAACTAACATTTTGAAATTTTTGAAACAGTTGGTTCTCGCAACCAAAAAAAAAGGACTATGATCAATTTTATAAAAAAAATAGTGTGACCCTAATGAACCATGAGATATGGCTGGAATTTTAGAGTATCAATAGAAGATTAAAAACTTCTATTGACAGACTTTTCTGAGAAGTCCCCTGAGTGCAAGAGTTATCTACATTTTATAACTATGTATCAATCTTATTCAAGTTTTCTACATCGGATTGTACATTATAACCAAAAATATTGAAATAATATGTCTAGAATGTATTTGATACAGTTCATTAATTCGATTAAATCCCTAAACACGAAATCTGTGCCGTCATATCCAAGAAATTCGGATTTTATTCTTGTGACGACGATGCTTCGAAGGGGGAAAATAAAACTTCAATTAAACAATTAAAACCTTCTGTTTCGTACTTTGTAGATGCCTCCCCTATCGATTAATATACAATTCATGACTGTTCACTCGAGAGCCCAAACTGGGCATAGTCCTTTGTCTCTTCAATTATTATTTATTATATTTAATTACATACACATATAATTATATGTATATGTAATAATTATTTTTCATTATTCAGCGTTGTTATAATTTATGTTATTTATTCATTTATAATCTTCCACATCATTATTTGAAAAATTAACTATATAAAAAAGTTATTTCTTGAAAAAATATTTTCATCTGTCGCATCATGTTTTCTTCTACAAATTGGCCTACATTTCACACAGGTCAAATAATTTAGTCAGCATTACTTAAAGGGCAGCCTATGAATGCCACAGAACAATGTAAAATTGCATAGAATCTTCAAGGGTAAGAAATCCCTAAAATCCGAGTGACACAGTGGGGGATGGATATAAGGAATCCCTAACCTTCGAAGGACCGCAGTCGAAGCCAAAATTTCGAGCAATTCACACTCGTACTCTTCATGCGTCCCTAACACGATTTACAATCGATTCGATTGTATGTGGCGGTATTTTTATAATTTAAAAAAATCGTGTTATTTTTGTAATTACAAAACAAATTACTCATATAATAATAATATAATAATAATTAATATTGTCAGTAAAAAAAGTGCGTGGAAAACGGGACTTGCATTCTCCAAGATGAAAGCCATGCACCTAGTGGGATTTTTATTCTGCATAACCCTGCCTTTAATATCAGCTGTCCATGACCCTACCTTTAATTTAGATCTCAGAAGGCACATCAGGACCGCTCAGTGTCAATCGTGGTGTCTGCGAAATTTCGCTATAAAACTTAACTACGAAACTGAAAATGAGGTACTTGCAAACAGCGACTGCCTACAGGTAACTAATTCCCATTCTTCCTAATCTAATCACGTTCAACACCTGAAATAATTTAAAAAATAATCTAAATAATAAATATATATGTTTTCTCTTTTCTGTTTCTATATAAAAATCTGAAATTAGAATATATAATCAAAATATTATATTTTAACAATTTATCGACAGAGTAAATAAAAATAATTTATATTTATAATTTATATTTATATTTATATTTATATATATTTATATTTTAGATTTGATTAATATAAAATTTATCCGTAAATTTGATATACATGTATGTGCGCAATAAAGTGTTATATGTACAGGGTGTCCCATTTCAAATTTGAATACATCCCGACGGAAAGAGTATACGCAAAGAGAGAGACGCAAATAGTTCTTAACAAATATTATATAGTCGTTTCCCTTTCCCCCTTTTTTCTTGTTGAAAAAGAAATGACGACTCACGCATGATAATGGCAGGATGACGACAGAAAGGAAAGAAATTTTTTCGCGATTTGACTCGTAATTATGTTAATCCTGGGAGCAATTTTGAAAGAAAAGTCGCTCGCTCCATCAAAATAAATTATTATAAGTATATTATGATAAGTAAAAACTTAAGTGCACGCGTACATGATAATATCGGACGATGTGGAAAATAAACATTCGCGAAAAGTAATAATTTAAATTTTTTAGTTAATGTATTTGGACTTAATTAAAACAAATTCATATCAAAACGTTTAATACATTATTTATAATATATTATAAATAATAATAATAACAATAATAATAGCTGTGCATGTTTAAAATAATAGCATAAAATAATGGTAAATAGAAAACAAACAATATATAAATATAAGTATAAATAATAAGAATATAAACATAAAATATAAATATAGAAGAATAATAATGTATAATTTCAAAATTATTTTGTCTAACATTTTTCTAATTTATATATTATTGAGACTATTTACTAAATATTTTCTTAGTTAACATTTTCCTTTCTTAATTTCGTATTTCTAGTTATCCTAGTTGCATGCTACTAAATCTCCATATCCCTGTCGAGCTAATCCTCCCTTTTCAAAAATGAAAATAAATAGCGCATAATAATGAGCTATTTATAAGCTTTTATATCTCGCAATTTAAAAATTTTGATCTCGTCGTACTGAACAGAAATTTAATACTTTTTAAATTTCCTTTTTTTCCGAAATACATATATCATCTAACTGCTGAGGATTTTTCTTCCATTTATTGCTTTTTTATTTTTATTTTTTCTAACAATCTAATGTCACCAAACAGACGATTCGTTGACTTCTAGATTAGATTATTATAATAGGTTTTTATTTCATGTCTCAAACCAATTATTATATCTCGATAATTTGATCATAAAGCTAATAAATACAAAATCTAATGTCACCGGAGAAATAACGGAGGCAGACATTATTACATATATACATATTTTTCATTAGAATATTTATATTTTTTAAATTTCATATGCTTAACTTCACATTCCGCGTTTTTAAAGTTAAAAATATATTCATCACCCTGCGATTACCTATAATACTTTTATCAATTATTTAAATATTTTACTTTAATTTCGTAATATGCAATGCTGCAAATGAAAATAATACCGTTTAAATTGTGTAAAATGTATAAATTCTGCAAAGAAGAATCATATTCTTTAGATCTCGAATTTTTTTCGAGCCAGTCAACCGATCTCAGCATGACTTTCGGGAAATGTCATTCGCGTAAGAGCTCACAAAAACCTTCGCTTCTGAAGCAAAGAATCAGTTTTAAAAAGGACGGAGAAGGATAATCGGGGATCAAAAGAAAAAGGGTAAAAAAGGAAAAGAAAATGAACAGCAAAAAGAAAAAAAAATGTAGAAACAGAATGACCCTACTCGAAAATCGGTATTCCTATAAATATGAAGACAATAACAACAAAGATGCGTACGGAACAGATTGGAACTAATTCAGTTCCTCTGTCTCCCTTACTCGCAATGTTTTATACTCTGTTTACACCCTCGTCTCTTTTTCTTCCTTAAATCAGCCCGACTCCACATTTTTTAATTCCGCCCATCACTTTTATCAAGTTTCATTCGTTTTCCTTGTACCTCTTTTTCCCTCGTTTTCTTATATAGCTCCACTTTCTTCTTGCACAATTCATATGACATGAGAGGTTTTTGTTCCGAATTTCTCATTCCCTGTCTAACTCTTTGTACAGTCTTTCGAAAAATAAATATACTTTGAAAATTTGGAAATATAAGAATTTAAAATAGATATTTAAACATAGGGTAAGACATAAAAATTAAAAATATTAACAAAAAATATACGAACAATTTTCTGCTTCAAAGTTGAAAACTAAATTTTCATATATGTTTATCTTTTTATAGTGCTTGCAATCCTGCGACTATTTCATTAAGGATCCCCATTACGATCTCAACACCTGTGGCAAACCCTGTATCTACTCTAAACTGCCCACGGTGAAAGACTATTTATGCAATCAAACGTCTCCGATATATGTAAGTAAAAATTTCTATTGTCTTCCTATGTTCTCTCCCTCCCCCCAAATAGTAAATGTAGCTGTTAGTTGCAAATTACATATTTTTTCTTAAAAATAACTGTTTTCTTTATACCGATAGATTCTTCTTATCATTGAACATGAATATTTTACGAGATATTTCATAGTTCATGTAAGATTATGTCAATTTAAGAAACTAAAATATCTCGTAAATTATTCACTTTATCCTACCCATATAACTTTTTATGTAGAATGTTTTAAGAAATCAATTTATGTAAAAAAAATAAGGTGGTTCCATTTAAGAACATTATGTTGACTTCTACATTAAAAAACCTGGCAAATCATTTAAAAAGAGGCAATCTTTATGGTTTTGATGCTATGTCCCCCTCGAAATTTTACAACTTTCATATGACACATTTTTTTCCAAAGACATCTCATTTTTAAGATAATCGACTGTATCACCTAAAAAGAAACACCTTAGTATACATATATCGTATCAATATTTTTGAGTTACTTTTTGATATTAATATATTATAATAGATATTGTACGATATATGTACATATATGTATACATATGTATATTGTGTATATATTTATACTATTTATATGTATGATATAATACAATATCTATTACAACGTATTAATATATATCAAGAATTATTTTCTCAATTTCAAATTTTTTAAAGACGGATTCGCAAACGTGTAAGTCGTGATCCCGGTCTTAAATTTCCGAATTTAAAAAAATCTTTTTTGGGTATACAGGCAATTTAGACAATTCTTGCAGTCCCTCGTTATATTTTCGAAGCAAGAATTGAAAATGTTAGTCGAGCCAGTGCGAGGAAAATCTCAAGTGTCATTCAGGGTCATAATTTTCAGTTTCATAGAAAAGGAACGACGGGTTTCGTATCTATTTTCACGAAAGATCCAAAGTCACACAGAAAAGTGTTTGGCAGAAATATAAAAATCGACTTCTCTTTAAAATATTTAGGAAAGAAAGCGAAACTTTTTCTATATTTTAATTTATTGCAAAAAATATGTTAGCTTCTCGATCATAATTAATAAATTTTTTTGTTAAACAATGGTAAAAGATACTCAACTGCAAAAATAATTAAGAAAGAAATGTGATTATTGTTTGATAAAATTTTTGAAAAAATTATATCATCGGAAATATCATCGAAATCTATGTAAACTATACATTATGTGCGAAGTAGAGATAGTGCGTTTGTCAATCTCGTAATATCTTTTTTTTTCAGGGGCCGGGTACCAAAATCGCCTGTGAATTTTACCTAAAACATATACAAAGAATAGAAGATGAGTATGAACTGACCAAATTACCGGCGCCTGAGAAGAATATTAGCATGATTAGCATGAATGCATACGATAGACACGTAATATTGTACGAAATTACATGGGGAACGTGGGTAATAAGTAGCGATCCTACTATGTACTACAGCATGAAAGATGTTACAAAACAAAGAAACTGGGTTATCATTGTCAACGAGACTGGACCGATCAAGCAGTATAGGTATTATTTTATTTATTGTTTTTCCATCGCCAGAAGATGTGAAACAAATCAAATAAAAATATAAAAAATGTGTCGCACAGAAATAAATTTTATAATTAAAATACATACTTATAAAATTGCTATTTCACGTTCCGTGGATTAAAACGTAAAATCTGTCAGTAAAATCAAATCTCACATCTGATTTACATTTACATTTTTAGATTTTTAATTTTTTCATGTTTTGCCAAATTTTCTACATTTACATTCATTTGTTACAACATAAAATAGTTATAATAATTATTATTATAGTTGGGGAAAGTGGCAGCCTACAGTAGAGTCTGTCACACAAAACGGTTCCCTGTTTAATATTAACATTACGTGGACAGACTGGCAGACCCAATTGAAAAAGCAATGGGAAGAAAATAATATATCTACAAAAAAGGTCGTTTTGAAAAACAACTCATCTTTCGTCGTTACTTGGCAACAAACGTTATCGGAAAAAGCCGTTATGGGCATGCAAGTAAGTAAACCCGTTTATTAAATACGTTAACATATTTCGATTTTCCCTGCAATTCTAATTGAAAAAAGAATATTTACAAGTAGATTCGAATTATTTATATAAGTATTTTATTAGATACGCTCACGGTGTTGATTATTAAGTAGTAGTTGCTTATCTGCCGATAATCTGTCTTATTATTTTTGCTTCCATTTATTTATAATTTCATTAAAATCGTAACAACTTCTTTCTGAGTAGTACACAAATTGAGAAAATCGAAGAAAGCTACGATTTCAATGAAAAAACCTTGAATAAACAAAAATAAAATAATAATCCCGTAATATTTTTCGAGTAATGATATTCGGATACTCGAAAAAAGAATTCTAAAAAAATGTTACTAAAATAAAAAAATAAAAATAAAATACATAAAAATCGTATAATTAAATATAATTCGGTATAATTATTAAATCGATTATATAAAAATTTTCAAGTATATGTAACTTCTACTTGTGAGTATATGTATATTTTTAATCTTATTCCTATAGGCAACAGATAACGAATGGGCACAGATTTCTGTACCACCCGGCAAATATATGATTAGAATAGTTACTAATGACGGTCCCGGCAGCTATTCGATCATTATCGACACCAATAGATTCACAAAAAAAAATGTGTACAGTTGGACCATATATCACATTCACTTCAGAGACTACATATCTTTCGTAAAACGTCTCCTAGGATATAATCTAATAATCATAATAATTTTTATTTTCCTTGTGACTTTTAAAAACATATTATTAACATATGTATTTGGGTAAAAAAAGAGAAGAGAGAAATAAAGTGAATATCGTATAATGTATGCTGAAAGATTTTACGTATAAGATGAATCAAGTTAATAGTAATCTTCACTATTTCTTGAAATAGTGATTCCAATTCATGTATCTGTTCAAGTAGCTGTTTTATCTATTCAGATAGATCATTCAATATATATAACAAAGACATAAACGCAAATGAGGATTTACAAAATGCGAAGATGTAAACACAAATGTAAGATAAAATTACTAGTACGCAAAAAGCAACCGCAAATGTGATTTGGCAGACAAAAATCATTGTACCTAAAGAATCCTATTAGAATTTTTTTCGCCTAATTCGGCAAAACAGCTCAGAGATTGTACTTCCTCTCATAAAAAGTAGCGTCTTCCGCTTCCCATAGCATGAAAAGTATAAAAGATGAATAAAAGAATACCTATTTCCCTTTATCATAAAAACCGATGAGTTATCTCAATATACAGTTTTTCTCTATTTATGTATATACCGTATATATTTATATTTAATAAAAATGCAATAATTAAGATTTCTTTTTGTTTTAAAGGACTAGGAGCAAATAAAAATGATTCGATTAATAATTCGCACGTTCTAAAAAATTCGAAAATATTAAAAATAAAATGAAAAATATAAAGAAAATGTAAATTCTACAGAAATTAAAAAGTAAAAAAAAAATTCTCATATATCATCATTTTACGAGAGAAAAAAATATCGTAAAACATTTCGATCACAATGTATTGTTTTCATATATAATAATATTGTACTTTATAATACCATTCTTCTGCCTCAAATAAAATAATTCTGAAAAAGATGTACAAATGTAATTTTTACGTTACGAAATATTGTGAATATTATTGATAAATATATATTATCATTATACTATAGTTTTTGTAAAAATGCTCAAAAATATCATATATGAGAAGAGACATGAAGAATGTTAGCAGATTGAATGTACACATGTAAGATGTTATGTAAATATATGTAAACCAAATAAGAAACGAATATTAGTCAAAAGAAAAAAAGAAAGAGAAATTTTACATATTCTTGAAAATATTTTATGTAATAAAGAATATAGAATAAACATATCGCCGTTCTACCTCAATATAATGCAACGAATAGACTGAATTCTAAGGGTTCCTATTACCAAAAATCTTGTATAATACGTAGCAAAATAAATTATAAAATCAATTTTCTCCTTTTGTTCTTATTGCCTCTATATATAATATTTCATAATATTATTAATATTATAGATTATAATATTGTACTCATATTTTTAAGTGTTGTATTTAATACTGTACTTATAATATCAAGCTTCGATGAATGGATCTATTATTTAATCTGCGCGATTCCTTCCGCTCGAGAATTCTCACTAGATTTCGCTACGCACTTTTTTTACATCGCTTAAATTTTCCACTTCGATGAAAGCATGAAGTTCGAATGTTGAATAGACGAGATATTCGATTGAATCTCGCTGTAAGTTTCGTGAACAGAATCGTATACGAGTTAAAGCGCGTAAGATTGAAAAACTTTTTCCACAAATTTCTTTTGTGCAGAAAAATTTAAGGGTACATTGACATCCTATATAAAGGAACTCGTTCGAGGAAACAAGTCGAGGTTGTGCGGAGCATCTCGATAATGTAGCTAACATTTCGCTACGCTCTTGCATTACAATCACACATTCTCTGAGGCTTACCGTAATTATCCGCGATTTATATAGCCCACAACGCGAAATTCGTGTCGCGTTGTATGGTTCAGAGTTATTTTATTATAAGCTAATCACTCTTCTACCACAACATAAAATAAAAAAAAATCGGCCATTTAGCGAAGCTTGAAAGTGGATTGAAAGGAACTTTGCGCACAAGACAAAAAGTTTTGCACCACCCTCTTATCACGCGTTCTCGTAATGCTGAGGACGTGCCTATAATTTTACCCGACAACTTTATTTGCAATGTTAAAACAAGTAGACAAGATTGTAAATACCGTCATTCTGTCATGTCTGGACAGATATAATAGGCTGACACCCGCACGCATTATTTTCAATTTAAAAGTACATATCTCGGTGGTGCACATCTTTTTTAATGTATGTACATATATAGACATATATATATATATATATATATATATATATATATATATATCATATTTTCCTAAAACAAAAGCTTCCATCAAACAGTGTTTCATAGAAAAGTTGTAGGATTTCGAGGAGATTATATTCTTGTAAGCAGTCTTATTCTAAGTGGAAGCATTTCAAAAATTTTGAGATTATTTTTTTAAACTTTACCATAATTTTCTTACATAAATCGATTCCTCGTAATATTTACCATAAAAATAATTAGCATAAATAATCGAAAAATAAATGGTTTACGAGATATTTTATAGGTACTTATTTCTATCACATTTTCATAACAAATATAAAATATCTCCTAATATACTAATTTTTCGATAATCTTTTCTTAATACTTTTTTTGCATAAAATAATGAGATAAATCAATCAATGTAAAAAACATACAATTATTTAAAAAATATATGCTCCAACATTACAAATTGCACATTTTTTGTAATTAGAAAAGTATGTTTTTTTTCACTTATAAATTTATTTCATTATTCTATGTAGAAAATTATATTAAGATAAGATTATCCAAAAATGAGTATATTGCAAGACATTTCATACCGTTTGTTAAAATTGTAACGACGCCTTCCCGGGTTACAATTTACGACGACGCTCGTAGAAACGAATCGAAAAAAGCAGATACATTCAATGCCAAACTGTCTCCGAAATACATTGGCCCGCTCACGATACAGCGCACCATCTCGTAATCGTAGATTTAAAAACACGGATGGCAAATGATCATATACACATCCATAGGACTCAAAAGCCGAGCCATAACAATAATAAACGAACCGATATAAACCAAGCCGAAGAGACTGTAAACAATACCTCTGACCCGTACGAGCAGGCTAAGGACAAACTCGAAAAATAATAACGAGCTCACTTCTGTTCCAGATCTCCGAGCGAACAGGCAAACATGGAAAACGATATTATCAACGAATTGTTCGACGAAGCGTCCGATGACGAAAGCCAAAGCTGCGAGCCACTAATCGTTGCCGATGGGAACCTGTCACCCATCGTGTCAGCACCGTCACGCTCGTTCCGAACGGGCATACTGATCCAACGCTCCGAACACGTAAATCAGCGGAAGCGCGAAATGTTGCTGCAGGAACCGCCACCGCTGCCAAAACGACCAGCTCGGCGCACGCCACCCAGGGAGCCGATCGCAGAATTGGAGCAACCCACCCTTCTGATGCTAACCGGACCCGTAGCTCCTCCGCCTATCCCTTGCCAGGTCGCACCCGGTATTGTTTTTCAAGTACCGCATTTCGCAGTGCATGTGACCCGCAAGTACAAAGTCCGTTCGGCGGAACATGGATACTGGGTCCTGCGGTTCTCGAACCGGGGTGAACTTCGGTATTGTCGGCGTATACGCTAAGTGCCTTCAAAATTAAGCATTCCCGACCGTCCACCAGTCGGAAGGCTGCGCCCGGCGACCATCGGCCGGGCAGGGCAGCAGGCGCTGAGCGCCCATTTTTTAAGGCTCTCAAAGGCTGCGTTCCTTTTGGACGCTTTCAGCGGTATAAGCATCTTGTGCAACGAAGACAAAAGGTGCTTATAGCGTTCAAAGTGTCAAAGCGAACGCAGCCAAAGCCGCTAATAACGGCATTAATTTCAAAACACGACGACTCTCCCCGAGCATCGTATTAAACACAATCTAATCGAATACCCGTCGAATTATGTAGAGCAACAAAGTAAATTAATCGCAAAACGTCCGGAAAATAATGCGCGCTGTATCGAAGAGAGGGATCACTCTCCCGCGGTTTGTTTTTCTTGCGCACCAACACGTAGTCACAGCCAAGCCGCGATCTCACATTGACACACACACACACACCAACATACTTGTATATATCAACAAGTATATGTGCGCACATTGCAACAACGTGTCACTTACCATACATTTACACACATCTCACACACATACACACTTGCACATCATATTTAATATAATTTAATACACACATTATTTATCCACCTCATACACTGTAAAAAAAATTTTGTAAAATTACATTAAAAATATGTAAAATTACATAATAAATAATGAAAAGGTAATCATTTCTATTATTTATCGTGTAATTTTACACTTATTATTTATGCAATTTTATATATTTTTGTGTAATATATTACATATTTTTTTACAGTGTACAAAGCTTCATTTACTAGCTCACCGTCGCGAACCCTGATCTCGGCTGGATTATACTGCGCTCGTAAAAGTAGACGTTATAAAATATATCCGAAAAAATATCCCGTAAACCATTCAATTTTTAACTATTCCATTCTAACCATTTTTTACGCCAAATATTATGAGCAATTGATATATATGTATATAAAAATTCTGGATCCAGCTGGATACATATATTTTTGTCAATAGTGCTTTTCCTAGTAAATACATTACTTCTAGAGTTAACGATAGAGATGTAAGCTCTTGCATTTGTATATTTGATCTGCCAACATTCTTCATTTCTCTTCTCATTCTGATCGAAATGTTTTACGATACTTTTCTCTCGTAACGAAAAACGATAAAATATAAAAATATCTTTTCTACTTTCTATATTTCACATAGAATTTACATTTTTTTATACTCTTGGAAATTTTTAGGTAATTTTATATTTAAAAATTTTTTAGAATGCGCGAATGATAATTATTAATCATCTTTATTTGTCGCTTTATGTTTTATAGTCCTGCATCTCTCTCTCTCTATCTCTTCCTTTTCTTTCTTTTTGTCTTTCAAGCTGTCAAATTAAGCTGTTTTGAATAAAAAGCTTTTCAATAAATTAAATCAAGTTAAATCATACATTGTCATACACTCTCCCATACAATTATATAAAATCAAATAATATTCTTATTTTCAATTTATTTTTCATTTAGCCAAAATTTTATCAAGGGACTTTTCAATTCCATTCATTTTATTCTCCAAAACGCCCATTTCGACCCAAGATAAAATATTTGTCACATGTCCATTGTTACTGATTAACAGCTATAATTTATATTCGTCTAATATTATTTTTTATTTAATATTTATTATATTTTCACTTATTTTTGGTATGTGTTTTTACTTTTATATTTATATATATTCAGATATTAATTTGTATACTTTTTAATAATAGTTAATATTTTTTTATAATTTTTAATATAATTTAGTTCCAATATACATATAACATGCATATATATATCGTACCATATTATAATATATTAATATCAAGAAATAACTCAACAATTTTTCTCATACAATTTAAAAAAAATAAGATGTACCGAATGTATTTCTTACATTGCGTAATATTGCAAATATTATCAATAAATATATTATCATTGTTTCAATTTTTTTTAAATTCTTGGTAATCATATATGAAAAGAGACGAAGAATGCTAACAGATAGGCAAATGTACAAATGTGAGAGCTTATGTAGATTTTCGAAAATTTAATTTATCTTTTTTCATCAAGAAAACTAATGTTGAAAATATTAATGTAAGAAAATATGTACGAAAATTTCTTTCGAGACAGGTTCCAATCGGACGTCTTTTAATTTTTTGTTTTCTTACTTTAATAAATTTCAATTTAAGATGGTTTTGTCAAAAACCTCAACAATTAAGTCTCTTTTCGAATAAAAAAATCGGTGAACAAAAAGCTCTTTATAGTTGCTGAAAAATCTAAGAATCTTATTGCTATATAGAGGCCTTTCTCGAGGATTTTCAAGGTTTGTAAAAAGAACTCTTCTCGAGGAAATCCTTCTCTCTCTCTCTCTCTCTCTCTCTCTCTCTCTCTCTCTCTCTCTTTCTTCATCCTTTTTTTCATTTTGTTCATAAAGTGCATTGAACTCGAATGACGAACTCGCGATGAGTCGACGAAAAAGTTAGAGCTGTACCAAGGTGAACGTATATACGCACTCATATACGTACACGTATACGCGTACATATAGTGAAAAGTATGCCGTGGCCTCGAACAAGGTCCCGTTATCCTAGGCATCGCCTTGAACGTCTTCATCCTCCCAGTCTTGACTCGGAAGTCAAGCCAAGATGATGATACCACTGCTCTTCGTTACCTTCCTCGTCAACTTTCCTCATCAACTCGCACAATCGGACGTGAACAATGGACTAATTACGATTGTCGCGGTCTTAGGGGCCTCTGTGCTGCCCATCGGATTCGCTGCCGGGCCCAGGTATTTTAAATCATGATCTCAGATTAACACAAAGGTCGAATGTTTCAGGGACAGTGAATTATTTTCATATTCGATATTTTTCAAAATTAAAGGTACTTTTAGAAATCTAGCACTTTTTTCATCATCTCTCAAGTTCAAGTTCTTTATAAAACTGAGATTATAATCTTAAAAATATAAAAAAATTAGTTTATATATATATTGTGTGCGATAAATTATATTGTCTATAAATAGAAAAATTGCAAAATAATTTTAAACTTATTATTTAATACTTAAGATATTAATTTAATTACATTTTTGTGCATCAAAATTATTTATTATATTAAAATATCGAATTGAATGATGAAAATATCTAGGATTCTATTCTTCCAATTTTTGATAAAGATAGATTTAAAATCAAATTTTTGAAATTTTATAATTTTAATTATAAAATTGTAAAATTACGTGAAACTATCAAAAATTTTATAAATATTGAAAAAAATTTCTTTTTTAATGCTGGAAAAATTCAATTATAAATTTATAAAACAAATTCAAATTTGTAATAAAATATAATTTTATTGTTCAAAATAATTTATTTTTAATTAGACTGTATTAAATTTATTATATATTCATTATAGATTTATCATTTTAACTTTCTTGATTTTTTCTTTTTCTTTCTTTTTCAAACTTTCTTATATCCAAAAATGTTTCAAATATAGGTAATTTTTAAGCTAAATTCTCTCTCTTATACACATACATACACACACATACAACTAGACGACAATCCTTTCTATCAGTTAACAACGACATATATTTAGATTATTCTTAAATGTCGTTTTCCTTAGCATAATAGCAATAAAATTTTTCATTCGAGTACATTGACAAGTAACATTTCTCAAACTATTAATAAACATTTGCATATATAAATTAATTTATTCCATATATATCACGCGATTAAAACTCAAAACGAAAAAATATTCACTGTTGCCAATGACATTTTACAACTTCTACATATTGATGACAAATTAGTACATATTAGTGTCACTATTTCCTCGTATTAAGTAATAATCAGAACATAAATCTTCATTATTTATATTCAATTTATTATTCTCTCTTATATACTCCCTATTAATATTTTATTGAATTTTATTAAATTTAATATAAATTATCTAGATATGTCCCAAAATGGAAAAAGCAAGCTTGCGAAATACCGGCGTCCCAACATCCGAATTCGCATTATATTTGCGACGAAGCTGGTGAAGTAAAATGCTTACCCGGTATGTATAAAAACAATTACGCTATCATGAATTAAATTTTATCAAATATTATATTAAATTAAATGTATGTAAATAAAATTAAATTAAATTAACTTAATTAATAGCAAGAATAAATAAATAGATAAAAAGATATCTAAATAAAAGTTTTATAGAAAAATTAAAGAAAGAGAATAAAATATATTTTCCAATATATCTTTCCCAATAAATAATATCAACAAAATATTATTTAGGATGGACTGGAGATCTGTGTGATGTTCCGATTTGTCGCAAGGGTTGCGATCCCCTTCAAGGTTATTGCCGAAGACCAGGGGAATGTCGTTGTAAACTGGGTTTCTATGGCGAACTATGTGACAAATGTGTGGCCTTGCCAGGATGTCAACATGGAAGGTATAATCAATCAATTAATATGCATACCGCGATGAAGAGAAAGTACAATTTGACGCGTAAATAAATTTTGTATCAAATTAAATATTATCATGAAATATCTTGCAAAAAATTAAAATACACTTTAGCAATTAAAAAAAACATATATTATGTGTAATATTTTATGGTATATACATACTTTTTCCTTATTTATAAATTAAATTTATTTTATAAAATTCATTCATTACATAATTTAATCGTACTTCATATTCTACAAATTATATATTGTGGTTTATATATATTGTATTTTATATAGTACTAATATAAATAATGCTAATTTAACATGTATTACAAATATATATTGAATTATGTTAAATTATAAAATTAAATTAAATTTATATTATATATAAATTTAATTTACCAAATAAAATTAAATTAAATTTATATTATATATAAATTTAATTTACGAAATAAATCCAATTCTTATGCACGATTATTATAAAACTTTTAACATCTTTTAGCATATAAATAAGTAAATTATTAATTTTTATTATTATTATATTAAATTTTTTATTTATTCCTTCATATTTTTCTATTGTTTTTTCTTTTTATAAAAAAATCTCTCTCTCGAATTAAATGCGGTTTCATTGTACTTTCTCTCGAAGAATATACGTATACGTAATTTCCACATTTTATTTGGATACATTCCGTTTGTGCATATGTAAGTGCAAAATCGGACCCTATATTTAAATCTAGATTAAATTAAAGATTGAATTCTATGTGTGTATGTGTGTTTGATCAATATTTTATTAAATATAATCACCTAAATATGCCAAATTAAGAGAAACACGCAAAATATCGGCTAATCCTTCATCGGTTTTCATTGTCAATAACAATTAAGTTTGATAACGCGTGCGAAAAGCATCCACGTAATATAAATTAAACTCCGCTTAAACAACAACCCGGCTTCGCTTTGCTTTCACCTTGAGTGAACGAGCGAGCATAATTTCCGTGTAACGCGAAACGCTTCCTCGCGTAGAGTGCTCTCTCACGACCGTTAATCGATTTCGATCGACCAATAGATAGATAGATAGACAGGCTTTTGACATCGTGATTTTCGCTTTCAGATGTAATGTGAGCTTCGAGTGTTCCTGCGATCCTGGTTGGAGGGGTATGTTTTGCTCCGAACCCGTTTGCGCGCCCGACTGCCTGTCCAGTCAGGGCTACTGCGAAAAACCCGGCGAATGCAGGTAATTAATCTTATTCAACATATTAGTATTTATGCGCGTACTTCATATTTTTGCAATTTTCTGGTTAAAGATTTTCTGATGTAGACATTAATTTTACTATTTACTATTTAAATCGAAATATGTATTTTATAAAAATAATTTTTTAATTTATAATTAATTTTTTATGACATTCATTATTTCACTTCAACTACAAAAAATAAGATATTCTTTTCTTTCAGTAATATCCATAATAAAATATATTTTAACTAAAAAATAAATAAAATTGTTAGAAGCTAAAGTCTTAAGATTTCTAAAAAAAAATTAATTGATGAATATTACCAGAAAAAATATAATATATTATAAATATAAAAAGAAAATATATATAATTATTACATCAAAAATAAATTTAAAAAAAATTTTTTTTGGAACATTAAATGTAATATAATCGCCGATTTTATTAGAAAGAAACTAAGACTTGATGTGTTTTCAGATGTCGTTTAGGTTGGCAAGGTTCTAAATGCAAACAGTGCGCGGTATTACCAGGCTGCGCTCACGGAACCTGTCAAGGACCTCTGGAGTGTCGATGCAATCCGGGTTGGACCGGACTACTTTGTGAAACACGTAAGTTTATTCTCGAGACGCGCAACGAGAGCAAATAGTGGGGGCCCTTAGAAAAATAAATGGCAACGTGACCATCAATGAGAATCGCATATTTTTCTTCAACTCGCGCAAAGACTAGAAACTTCTCTTAAGTGTACACAGAATCCTTCGTTGACCGACTTTGACAATGTATAAAAAGAAATACAATGAGTTATATGTATATACGCTAGATTTGTTCAAGAAAGAAAGCACTACATGTCTGCTAATCAAAAATCTTTTGTGGAATCGCTCGTAATAAATATTCACTTTTCAAAATCCCTAAAACTCTAAATAAAACACATAGAAGACATTGCATTTTTAATGCTTATTTTTATAAAATTAAAAAAAAGAGAATTAATCATAAATTAATATCAAAATATACAATTAAAAAAATCAAATAATTGAAAGGTAAAAAAATATATATCTATAGTACATATCTAGAACAAGCATTCTATTCGGAAAAGATTTAAATATTTGAACGTATTTTTCGACTATAATATTACTTAATTTTTACTGATTCTGTCATAACATATTTTTAATATTATGTTATGGACTAATAATATGTTGATTTCACTAGCAATCTGCTCGCAAGGATGCAGCCGGGAACACGGCGGCTGCAGACGACCGGGTACGTGCAGATGCCGCGTCGGCTGGTCCGGACCCAACTGCACCGAGTGCGTGCAGTACCCTGGATGCGTACACGGATCGTGCAAACGACCTTGGGAATGCCGATGCAAGCCGGGTTGGGCCGGCGAGCTGTGCAACGAAAAGCTCATCTACTGTGACGAGCACCCCGGCCTTTGTCAAAATGGTGCCACTTGCATCAGCATGATTCGCGAGGACGGCGATTACAGGTGAGATTATGTCGCGAGAGTGTCATAAATATGATGGATATTTCCTTTTCCATATAATCGCATTAATTATGAAGATTAAATATTAATGTTATGCAAATATGTTGGTAATATCAAGTAAAAAAGATGTTAGAAAAAGAGGCTCTTTTTCCGCAGATGCATTTGTCCTCTGGGTTACATGGGTCGGCAATGCCAGATAAAAACTATGGTACCGTCTATGGAATTGCTACCACCAATGTTCAATACCACCGTGGGAATATCGCAAGAGATGCAAGATCTCGCGGACAAGCCGAGTATCGAGGAAACTTCAAACGAGGACATGAAGCACGAACAAAAACCTCCCAAGGAAGAGGAGCAAACCGCGGAACCTCTAGGGCCTATCGTGATTACAGACTTGCCGACCACCACTATCAACGTCACTGACACCACTATTATTACAACTACTATAGATCCGGCCGCAACCGCGGGAAAATGGCCAACGGAAGCGGCGACCGAGCCAAGCGAAAGAGACGATGAAAACGAGACATAAAATAGAGATAACCGATATAATGCAGCCACGACGTTTATATATTTCTCTCGTAGCTTATTTATTTATTTAGTTTTTCAAATCGTTCTCTCTCGATAAGTTTATTCGATAAAGACCGGATGCCTCTCGAGAAAAGTATTTATTCTTTGTTTTATTGCATTATGAACAATATGTATTTTAAAAATGTATTTTATATATATATGAACAATATGTATTTTAAAAATGTATTTTATATATATATATATATATATATATATACTGATAGATATAAATTTTTGATTGATTTGTTACATTATATAATTTATCGATTTATCGTACAATTGTAAAATATCTAATATATGTGCATATTATCACGATATGATATTGGAATTTATTCATAAATATAATTATTTTCCAGCTATATTTATTAATGTTTTATACTTTTATTGGTTTCTTTTCACCTTTATTATTAATAAAATAACAAAAATATAATTGTTTCAAAAACTTATTTCTCTGCCAAAAAATTTTAAAATAGACTTTATTTGATACATATGTATACTTGCAAAAGAATGAAAGAATGTCTAAAATTTTATTTTTTTTTTTTTTATTATTGAAACTTTAGCAATTAAAGTGAAACCATGTTTTGCATATCGAAATGATCGAAATAGTAAAACTTCCTGTTTCAGAATTTCGCAACATTTCAGAGTAACATATTACAGTTGCAAGTTTATCGAAAGATCACTTTATGTATTATGTATTACATATTATTTTATAGATAGTTTTATAGATAAATAAATATAGATAAAATAGTCTGTTACTAATGGCCGATAAATTCTACACTATAATACACCTACATATATGTACTTTGAAATCTAAATAACATTTCTCATTTTATCTATCGAATTTCTTCACCATGATATGTGGGCGAGAAATTCTGGCAAGAGATCGCGATCCAGATTGACAGAACAAAGATTTTCGAGAAAGTGACCCGGCAATCTCTGGAGCAATTATTATTACCACGTCCACTAGAGTACACACGTAAGTAGGATGCAAAACATAAGATATCTGAAATATATATCCTATGAGAGAAAGAAAGAAAGAAAGAGAGAGAGAGAGAAATACAAATCCACACTCTGGGTGCATAAAACGTTCTCAAAGTCACGCTCCAATGATCATACGTTCGATTCGATCCCTCGATCGTGCATGTGCCGTTTTCACAGATACGTTGCTACGATCGACTTCCCACATAATAAAACGCAACCGAGAGAGTTACATGCGTTGCGCTTACGTAATGCCAATACTGACTGCATTTCGCCCTCCATTTCGCCAGATAAAAGGACGGGATATATGGAAAATCGAATCTAAAATCGCGTGACATATTTGCTTCTGTTCTCAGACAAATATATATCATTATTTATTCAATTTTCTATCTTTATACTCTGCCTAATTTTTTCTCACTCAATTTTATGTAAAAAATATAAGCGTAAAGAGAGAATGAGTCATAGTTAAGTAGAATACTAATTAAATATTAATGTAACCATATAATAAATATTAATACATCCATATTATTTTATGATTATTGATTGCGGATTAACAAAACTTCACGATGCAAACAACTGTATTTTTCTTTCATTCCATATTTTTTGCATTTTTCCATGACGTTTAATAAGCATTTATTAATGGCACGGCCAGATAACGAATAGATTATGAAATTTACTTTATTACATTCCGATTGACGATTGCATTGCGTCACATTATATGAGGTACTCCAATGAATTACTTTTTATTGATTAAATTCTTCGACCAATTTGTATAGTCATTTTTTCTCAGTAAAATATTTCTTTAGGAACGTAATCACTTATTAAAACTTGTCAATTTTCTGAATAAATAATAAATATTTTTATAAATAACAGGAGAGAAGAGAGAGAGATTTCTCAATTTATTTCTATGTATATAACTAAAATTAATATCTCTTCATAATCACTTTTAATTATTTTACACAATTACTTTCTTCAAAATCATAACTTTTTATTGAAGTAAATTTTATTTTAGTAATTAAATTTTGGGGAGAAAAAGGAGTTATTTATTTTTAATAATTTATAATTTAAATTTTGATAACTTGTAACTTAAATATTATATCAATTCAGATGTCTAAATTTTAAAAAATACAGTTCTTAAAATTTCTTAAAAATTTTGTAAATAAAACATTTCTTAAAAGGTTGCAGAAAAAATAAAGTTTAATTAAATGTTCTATAAATCAAAGTGTTAGCATTTTTTTAAAGTGTAGCATTTGATATACTTCCTTTTTTATAAGAAATCAACTTATCTTTAGATGTATCGTTCAGTTCTTCCGATTTCGCATCTTTTGTTGCATTTTGCAATAATCTCCTAATATATACATATTTATTAAATTAAAATATTCTATAACATGTTGCACGCATACGCACAACACACAACGTTGCTATTTTCATTCTAATTATTCGCGGAATGTAGTCTGACGCTTTTTTCGCAGCTTCTAATTAACATATGTTGCTTATTACTCGACCGAATCGATATACTTAAAAAATGTCCAAGTTGTTTTAAAAAGAGAGATTGAGAGAAAAATTGTATTAAAGACCCACTATAAACTTTCTCTTCCATAGAAAATTAAATAAAAAATTCGATAAATTTCGAATTATTTTTCGCTTATTTTTAATAAATAAACATTGAGTATATAAAATTAATTATGCATGTGTATATAATAATGTAATATAAAATTATGATATTGTCTACAATTATCTTTAATTATCTTATAATTATATTTTATTTAATTATATACTTTTTCTGACTCATATATTTCATATCGTATATTTTTATTTTATATACTCTATTAGAAATAATTATATTTCATTTATTTTGCTAATTAATGTTATGCTATGAATAAAACAGTAATAATTACATACTTTGTAAGCAAGGCCGTCGAAGCGATCGCCTTTTGCGAAATAAGGCTAAGCGCTTAACGGAACAAAGGACGATATGTCACGATGGATATAATTGGCACGCAAGGTTTTCATTGCCTTGTAAAAATCGGACGTTAAATAAATGCTGCTATTACCAATCTTAATTAACATCTTAACTGGTGTAATGATGTTAAAAGTAGCTGCCGAATATAATAAACGTTGATATTAAACGTTGTTTTCGACGCGTTTTATTAAATTCATCAATGGTTGTTTCGATCTTATCACACTCGTGATATAAGAAATATGAAAGATTTCAAGCACGGAAAAACCATAAAATTCTAACTTATGTTAGAAATTGTGTTTACAGAATTCGTTATGTCTCAAATTAAATATTTTAGAGTCTTATATTATATTAGAATTTTATATAGGTAATGCTAATAAATTTCAAAAATAATAAAAATTATTTCATTATCTAGAGTTTTGATATTGAAATAATAATATTAATTTTTTTATCAATATATATATATATATATATATATATATATATTATATGCATATTACAATTTTGTCATTTATTTATATACATATCTTTACATTACAATATGTATATAAATAAATAACAATTGTAATATGTAATTTAATCAGAAATACTTGCGATAATTATAATTATGCTATTGCGCCACGCTTAACATGGTGCGTAATACAGGATTAACTATATTAAAATTGATAGTATTAATTCATCAGATTCGTCACGCAGATAAATTCTGCACGCGTGCGAAATAACGAGGTAGCCAGTAAATAACGGCATATAATATGTAATTATTATCCTCGCAATAGTGTGCGGAGAATAAACGAACGCCGCGTATCAGAAAAATATCTCGATTTCTTACTCTCAAACGAAGTCGCCGAAAAATAGAAGCCATCGACAAGAATGTGAAAGCTGCTCTTTCAACCCCAAAGCTGCTTGCACGGTTTTGTAATTAATTATCTAATCACTATCGTATATCAGACAACTTGAAGATCGAGTTCCTTTAATTTTTGTATAAAAATATTTTTAATTATTTCATATAAATCTCATATAAATCAATATAACACACACACATATGTATATATATATATATATATATATGCAAAATAAGACATATTATTTCTAATGCATTTAAAAAAATAATAAGAGCGACACTATTACCTTTTCTCTACTATTAACTACGACGAAGAATATGAAATAAACTATGTAATCACACAATATAAATGCTAATAACAAACAGCTAATAATAATGCAAATTGCAATAAATGGTCTGATAAGATTCAATACGCATTTAAAATTTTTTTATAGGCGTTCCTTATTTTTTTAGCATTTTAGCAAAATACATTGCACTTTCACTGTCATTGTTTACATGTAAGATCAAGATGAAGAGGGAAAAAAACGCAAGAGTGTGCATCGAGTAAACCGATGACGCGATCGGCCGGCTGCTTCCAGAGCGAAACGACCCAGATTCTAAGGTACGCGCGTGTAATAAAAGTGATATTACATCAGAAAGCAATATATGTATACTCGCGTAAAACCATGATATATTTGCTACCACTGCAAATAATCTCTAAGGGCTACCGAGAGACTGATTAAGTTTTAGACATATTCAAGAACAGAGATTCCTTTCAAGATCCTTAATCCTTAAATATACTGTATCTATAATTATCTCAGTCAACATACTTCAAACTTCAATAAATGAAATGTCGAATAAAATCTTTGATAAAATTTATTTTCTTTCTAATTTTCCTTTTTCATCACGACTTCTCTAATACAGATTTATAGATCGAGAAGGGAGAATTTTTTAATCATAAAATGTTAATCAGAACTCTTATCAACATATAGATAAAGCGAATCTTATTTTTTCATCATATATACAGATAAAATTAATTAAATAAAATAATTAAATTAAATAATTAAATCAAAATATTTTTATATACTGTTTTCATTAATTCTTTTATAGTTCCACTTTGAATTTCCATTGCGGATTCTCCGCAGAATTCAGTAAGAGATCGATATACTTATCTATCGCGATAGAATGCGAATTTTAAAAACGAAATCGGCCCTAATCCCCTTTCGCCTTTTATTTAATTAAATGCACGATCAACGGCATAAGGTTAGACTGGCGCAATTGCGGATCTGGAATTTTTTGATCGCGAATGTGAGAACGGCGAAGGGCGAAAGGGAAACTGTTCCCCTTCCGTTCGAGCGATCT